TTTTGTCTTTTTTGACATATTTTGGTTTCTTATGATGATTGTTACGGTTATAGTTTGTGGTGAACGTTTTTGTTTAGCTATTTGTGTGTATTTGATGCATCAATTAGTTTCTCATTGTATTTTAATTATTGTTGTGATAATGTGTATTACCGAGAGGAAACCCTAGCAAATCAGACACCAAATGGGCCGAAAACCAAGGCTTAATTGGAAAGTCAATGCCCAAGCTATCATGCCTACTTGGGAGCAAATAACAAGGATTAAAGCAAAACAACTCAAAGGCAGGCAAACGCACCAAGAGTTGATTCACAACCCAACATGCTCGATTGAGGTGAGGCTTACCATACTTGGCACCAACCAACAAGGCCTAAGACAACAATTAGATGGGCTACACACCAATAGTCGATTCGCCAGGTAGGTATCCCAACAAGCTTAGTCTAGGAGAGGATTGCCACCTTTCCTTTCTTCTCATCGAATCGCTTGGCAATGCCTCCCTACCATCAAAGGTAGGTTTGGTGGGCAACATTGGCCAATGGTCGATTGAAATAACATAGTCTTCTTCCTCGTAAATTATTTATGATTTCTCTAATTTTCCAATAGTTGCTTTGCATTCACCTATCCACCAAATATTATGTCTCATGCTACATTAACAGACAAATTGTTAAAGCTCAATAATAACAACAACGTGAATCTTAATTGCTCACTTAAATACGTGCAAAACAACATTTTCATGAGTACAGTACAAACAAAACATAAAACTAACTACAAAATACGTATAAAAAAGACTAAAAAACATATGAAAATCTTGTTTTCACAAGTGAAATCTTAAAATGAAGATTTTCGCAGCTCTACATATGAAAATGTTGTTTTCACAAGTATAATACAACAAAAACGAAAAAACACTACATGAAACGTACAATATATATATATATATATATATATATATATATATATATATATATATATATAAACAAAAAAACTTATTTTAATTCATAGATTGTTATCATCTTGTCTTATTTTCTCCGGAGATAATTTATTCGTAGATACGACACAAACGTTTAAAAAAATGAGAAAATATTTTTTTGACATTATATATGGGACCATAGTCTAATAGATGCTCATTTTGAGCGTGTTCGACAAAAACTAGCTAGTATAGCCGATAGTGATTTGTTAAACGCTACGTGATGTAGCTTTTAGATTTGGAACGTTATGTTTAAATTAAACACTTGAAGCTTGTAATGCTAAATGAAGTTTTTTATTCAAACGAAATGTTTTGTCAAACCTAGAAGCTGGAACCTCCCAAACGTTTCGTCATAAACAAACTTTGAAAATGACATTTTCATAGTCCAATATGATTTTTCCTTGGCCCATTGATAATATATTAGTCATTTGCTGATTCCGTAGGTGCTATGGACGAAATTAATGATTCTTTTTGAAAAGTTTTCAATTTTTATAAATATCTTAAATTACAGTAAATAAGATTAAATGTTATTAACCTTTTTCTTTCAAAATTTATTGTTAGATAAACATAACGTATGATGATGGATTTTATTATACTATAACATTTAAATTAGTTAAAATATCTAAACACCAATGATATCCCTTCTAATAAAAGACTCCTAGATATGCCACATGTCCCTTTTTACACAATTTCTTTGCCACGTGTCATGCTAATATTCACTAGCTCTTTTAATTTCCCGCTCTTTTACACTCGGTCATTATAGATAGCAATACTTATCCCAATCAATCTTCCTGTAACCATGATTCATATCCCAAAAATTAGGCTAGAAATTTAAATTTCATAAATTAGTCAAGAAATCAGGATTCTAATCCTATCCATATTAAAATGGATGGAAATGTTTCCGTTTCATATTTACCTACATCCAAGATTTCCTATATACCCATCGGCCATCATTTTCATTCTGCTATACCGGTTGATCATTCTCCAGGTATGTAATAATTCCTATCTTATTTTCGTATATCTCCCCAACCTAGGGTTTTTAGTTCGATCTCTAATCCTTCCAGTCGCCTCCTTCCTTGCATCTACATTGTTGCCTCCTTTCCAATTTGTTACATGTTGCTCGAAAACACGCGGCCGATTGATTATAGGGTTCATCAAAAACTTTGAATCACTTTCATTTGGTTCTTTGTTTTTTGATTTTACATCTTCTTCAGCTTTTTCGTTTGCAACAGTCATTTTTGTGTTTTTGAAGGAGCCGGGGGATATGAGTGAAATCTTTGGGCTACAACGGTTTTGAAGTCACCCTTAGTCCCTACAGAAACTTGATTTAAGAAGGTAAAAAGGTTAATTTCTTAAAAAATTCTAATTATTGTTTACTTTTTTTTGGTTTAGTTTTATTCAAAAGAAAGTGACGAAAAAGAAATCATGGTCTCTCTCTCTCTCTTTGTGTGTGTGTGTGTGTGTTTAGCTATATAAGTGTCGATTTCGTGGATCTAGATCAAGTTACCATTGTGCCACCGTAAACTCCATGTGCTCTTCCTCTGTTTCTAACCTTAATTTGTGTTTTTTAGTACAACACTAAAAACAGTAGAGGTTCTACAGATAGCGGATAGGAGTGGAAGTTCGATATACGTGCAATGATTTGTGATTTTATAGTGTATTAATTTTTGCTTTCTTCATCAATCGAAGATGTGGTAGTTCAGTAACATTATTGGTTCCTATTGGAAAATTTAATAGCTCTTTTGATAAGGTTTTCAATCATATTAGTTATTAGTGTGTGTGTAGGGGGTAATATATCTTACTTTTAACCATTATAAATGTTTTCGTTATGCTTAAATGGCCTTTTTTTTACTGTATGGGTGGAACCCTCACTAGTTAAGAATGCTAAGTTGGTAAAGAACCTACAGGAGCATTCCCTTATAGGGTATATATAGTTATTGAATTCCTTTTCTTTTGTAGACCAAATATAAATTTCTTTTCAAATTTAAAGTTCAAATTCATACTTGACACTTGACTCAAGAGTATCTAGGACTATGGACTAATTAGTACTTAGTGATTAAATCAACTCTATTTTCTTGACCATATTTCATCATTTTAGCAGTTTGTAAGTACTACCATTTTTATTTTTTATCATCACACAACAGTACATATACACACAACCATTTGCTTCATTTCCAAAATTTAATTGTTGAAGGCTCGAGGGTATTGATTCCCTCTTGAGGAGAAGTTTTTAAGGAACAAATCTTATGCCCAACATCAGCTATGGATTAGATTTGTTAATAACGATTAGACTTACATGTGACCATGGTTGTTAAAGATCTCTCATAAACTATGTTCCTTTCAGACCATCATATTTAGCTTTTGGTTGCAAACTAAATAAAAGTCATCTTGAAACAGTGGAATACAATAGTGTGAGGAATAAACTATGTAACATGTTTTTGTAGGATTTTGAATATTTGTAGCATCCTATTTTGTAATGTATATATTTTTTAAAGATTTCCAACATCAGTTGGAAAATAAGGAAAAACTTTTATAGCATTCTACTTTCTGAAAACTGTAATTTATTGTATTATACTTTCTAAAATGGTTTTTTTGTGAGGATCTCGAATATAGAGTGGAAAAATAATATTTTCTGTTATAACATTTTACTTCTGGAAACTATCATTTATAGCATCCTACTTTGTAAAAAGGCCCTCTATGGGTATTTCGAACATGAAGTGGAAATTATATATATATATATATTATATATATATATATATATTATATATATTTTATAACATTTTACTTTCTTGAAACTGACATTTATAGCATATTACGTTGTAAAAGTCATTTTTTTTGAAGATTTTGAACATGACAAAACATCTACTTTACCTTTATCTATTCTAATAAACGAAACCTAAAAATACCACATATTCATTTTCTAGCATTCCGTTTTGACACGTGACAATTTTCTATGATTTTTTACCATTTTCTTTTTTTTTGGTAACAAATCAACTTCAATTAAAATTCTGAAAATACAAAATCTTATTCATAATAACATTTTCGAATTTATAGTAAAATATTATGTTTAGTTTACGTAACAAATTTATTCAGAAATCAGAATTATTTACAATCAATAATACGTTGAACTTTTTTGACATTTATTATATTTTTATCAATTTATTTATAATAATAATTTTAAACAAGTTACCGTGGTTTCCACGGGTTATAACCTAGTATACTTATAATTTCATTAGCTCCATCAACTTTTGTTTTGTAGTAATTAAACTTTATTTTTTTCTTCATTCTGTTAAAATATATAATAATTATATATATATTATTTCACTAGGGGGAGATATTCAATAGGAATAAATAAGGTTATAAATCTCTTATGAACCAAATTCACTACTAAATTGTAAATACAAACTACTAGGCTGAAATGGACACTATGAATTTAACCGTAAGTAACCCAAATCATTACAGTTATTAAACTTAACTGTGAATTTATAGTTATTAAACTGTAATACAAACACTACAAAACACTACCCCATTTCAGCCAAATTATCTATGCTCACAATTTATAACTACTAATGTAGTTCCTAAGTGGTTTATAACTTTTTTTTATTCACTATCAAATCTATTTCTATGTCAGTAATATTTATTTTTTTTTGATAGATTTGAAAATCATGAAGTAATTACTAAAAAAATAAAAAAATGGAATCTATAATTATTTTTTTATTTTTGGTCTTTTTTGAATCCAAATAGAAATTAGTGGACAAAATTTATGTAATTACTTGTTACATAAAATTTTGAATTCAAATATCACAAATTTTTATTGGAATGACCATTTGCTTGACCTGTTAGGTTAGCCTGACCCGTTGGTTAACCGACACCGATCTCTGTCTATAATCATCGCTTTCGATTGCGGTGAAGAGATTGCGTTTGCGTACTCTTGTTGTGTTCTTCCTGTTGTCTCTCTGAAATCAATCATCGTCCCAAAGAATTTTTGATTCATTGCCTCTTTCATTCACCTTAACAATTTGCTTCTTCAAAACCCTAGTTCATGGACAACTCCAAAGACCAAGGCAGCAAGATCGCCAACACCGATGAAAACCCTAGCAGCAATACTCAATCACCTGTTGATTCTTCCCTTATTCCTGCTGTCGCTGTAGAAAATGGCAATCCAAACCGCCCTTCTGCGGCTCCTAGAACTCCCTTTACCAATCTAAGTCAGGTCGACGCTGATCTTGCCTCGCTCGTACACTACAAGACCAGGTATATCTCTTCGTATCTGTAGTCTGAGGTTTGATTTTTATTTGGATTGCAAGTTCTTTGTCTTTTGTTCTTTGTTTTTAAACTAGGTGGAGTTTGAGGGTATGAAATTCATTATTCTGAACTCTGGCCTTGATTGTTTCTAGTATGATTCTTGCTTCAAATCTTCAATTGAAACTAGTATTTAGGGGCGAGATGCAAGCATCGGTCTTAGTGTGCTGTGCATGAACCCTAAATTTAAATAAGAACATTATGGTATTGATTGTTTGATAGTTTTGTGGGTTTGTGGTTTTCTCTTATGTGATATCTCCTGTTAGATTTTTTTCCTTATGAAATTGTGATTGGATTCAATAGGAAAGGGCATATATGATGTTGAAATGAATGGCGATGGGAGTGACCATGAGAGTTGGGAAACAGGAAGTTATGTGCATGATGATGATGATGATGAATTTGATCATCACAACAGTGAATATGAGGGTTCTGAAGCCAATGAAGAAGAAGAAGATGCATTTGATGTCCATGCTCATCTTGATCTTGGATCTGGAGAGGAGGATAGAAGTAACCACGGTGTTGAATTAGATCCTGCTTCTTTCCCGGATGATGAGTCATATGCAAGAGCTTTACAAGATGCTGAAGATCAAGATGGCTGCTAGATTATTGGCCCTCACTGGCATACATGAAAGTGAGCTCTTATCATGAATTTCATTTTCTTATTATTTTACCATCTTTATGATCATGTCATGTCGACATTGATTTATATCCTTTCAGTGGAAAACATAGATGTCTAACAAAGTCTTTGCTTATTGCCAGTGGTTACAGAGGAAGATGATGATATTGATGATCACGGTGGTAATTCTCAGGTGATAATTTGTTATGCCCTTTGGTTCATAATTATTATTTAGATGAATAACAAAAACATGAAGATATGATTCTTCTTGTCTGATGATTTCAACGATATTTCTGGAAGAGTAGTTAAACTTGTAATGCTAACAGTGATAATACTAATGCATATAGATTTAACAATCTAACATGTTACAATATCCCCTTTAAGTAATTTATCCGTTTTCTTGTTGTGATAATAACTATACTACTGTTGAATGATATAAGTGTAAAAGATCAAATTCCAAGTATGATAAGCACAGCAACTAGTATCCAAAAGCCTCATCATGTACTATGAGTGTATTTATTAGGAAAAAAAATTTAAATCCTAGACTAACTGAATTAAGAAACTGAATCTGAGGCATCTACACTCTACAGTATAAAAGCAAGGGTGATACAGAAAAAACACGATGTATTTTCATCGTTTAATTGATTTATCCATTTAATTATTTTCTTTAGCGATTAAGCCATTATATTCTTTTACGATTATAAAAAAGCAGCTTTCCTTGTTTACCAGGAACTATTATTTTTATTGTATAAACCACTGAAGTATTATTTTTTGTTGATTGTTATAGTGATTGTTCAATGGTTAAATCTATAAAAAACAGTTTGGTGTTTATAAAATGATGAACTACACTATGCTTTTCTGTATTTTGTGTTGATATTAAAATCAGGAACCCTGAAAAATAGTTGTAGAAAATAATAAAGTGGCTAAATTGATAAAGTGATGAAAGTTAAAAAAGTGGCTTCCCGTAAAATAGTAAAATACAATATGAAAGTATATATGGAATCCAACTTCTTTAGTGTTTGGTATATGGAATGGTAAAAAAGCTGTTCCTTTTGTCTGATTCATTCCACCATTAAATTAGAATTTTATTTTCTAAAATTAAGTTTGGTATGTTAATTATGTTTTGGTTTATAAAAATGTATGTTTTGTTTTCTAGGGTACATGGGATGATGTTGACCCAGATGAACTATCATATGAGGTAATAATTTGTATTCTACTTATAATAATTCCATTTGTTACACAAGGACTTGCTCTTGTTTGTGCAAAAGACATAAATGCCCTCTTCCTTTGTCATTGAAAACAGTCTTGGAAAACTTGGACTGGTTGGTATAAATGGGATAAAATTTGCAAGCTCTCGATCTCCTGTACAAGTGTATGTGCAAAAGACATAAATGACCTCCTTAACATTTTATCTGAATATGTAAATTGTTTTAGGAATTACTTGCACTTGGTGAAGTGGTGGGGACAGAAAGTAGAGGGCTCTCTGCTGATTCAATTTCTTCTTTGCGCTCAGTAGTATACAAGATCCAGAATAATCAAAACGGAAGCAGTGATACGTAAAACACAACAAACAAACTCTTGTATTTTTTTTTTCATGAGTCAGGGTTTATTTTATTTATTCTGATACTATTTGTTTGTTTATTAATTTTGATTGCAGATGTGTTATTTGTCGGTTGGATTATGAAGATGGGGAAAACTTGATCTTGCTGTCTTGTAAACACTCTTACCATTCTGAATGCATAACCAACTGGTTACAAATCAACAAGGTATGTCATATACTCAATATCATATGTCAACTTGTAAGTCTAGTTTTGTAAAATGTTGGAAATTTTCTTATGGAAAGTTTAATTTCCCCATTTTTTTATTATTATTATTAAGAAGACAGTTGTACTATTATTATTTGTGGTGCAGGTGTGCCCTGTTTGCAGCACGGAGGTGTCAACATCATCCGGAACGGGAACCCCAAGTTGTTGACTCGGATGATGAATGAATTGATGGATGGTTTTATCTTTTACTATTGTGTGAAAACTGAAAAACACCAGACCATAAATAATATGATTTGTGACAATTGTATTGTTTGTTACTTGTTAGTTTATATTATAATCTCTTTATAATATGCTGTAGTTGGTTAGCTACCTACCTTAGCTTTTTCATGGAACTTACTTTGAGAACATCATTTTTCTCTTTAGTCATGTGTATTGGATCTTAATTCTTAAGTCAGTTTTTGGCATCGTTGTTACCAATTCTAGAGGTATTGGTATTGATAATGATAGTAACGACAACGTTGCATTCATGTTGAAGTTACAAGATAATCAATTTCAACTGATTTGTTCCTCAATAGTCTATACTTGACAGTTAAAAACCTATGCACTTTAGTTGAATGTTTACTAGAAAAACTATATAATTGTTTTATATTTGGATGACACTGTTATGGTATAATATGATGAAATGAATGTATTGTATGGTCTTGTAAGAAGAGAAACTCAATTCAAAAAAATTGAGGATTCGTAAAGCACATCGAAGTTGTGTCATTGTTTAAAAGGATTTTGATATTGAATGCCTACGTCAAATTTGGAAGCCCCTCCATATACATATTCAATTCAAGACATCTATACTAATATATTTATACATTGTTTTTTAAAAAAACCACCCATATTTTCAAATTATTGTATCATAATATCAAATTCAAAACTGAACATATCAAATATATTCTTTTGTTATTTATAAATAGACATCTATACCAATATATTTATAATAATGTTTTTTCAAAAGTTCAATCGTTGGCATTCACAATCTGAATAAATATATAAGGTTCACATATATTATGCAACATTACAAATTCATCCTTAAATATAACTCCTTTTGGTCAAATCATGTTTAAGCGCTCGTGGTCAGCAAAGATTTTGAGTTTTACCTCACAAAAATACGAACAATGTATTACATAACAACTCCGTTCATTTTTGAAAAAAGTTTTCTTTTGTTCTCCAAGACATCCAACCTTTGATGAATCCACTTGGAAACATTTTTCACTAACCATGTAACCCACAAGCTACACTTATTAAGCCAAAATTCACATGTACATATACAAACTGTTGTGTAATCTTTCGTTATAAAGAAGTACCGATAATATTGATATAAGTGTTTATTTATAATGAATAAAATATTATAAATTTTGATATATTCGTTTTCTTCGATAAGAAATAAGTCCTTAAGAACAAAAAAGAAAGATAATGATCTATTCAAAACAAAAAAACCTGCAACAACAAATAATAATGATTGGATAGAGTTTTATAAAAATAGAGATTATTTAAAAAATAAAAGCCAATGTGAGACTAACCCCATTTGTTACTTTGACTCTTAGACTAGAAGTCTCGGATTTTAATGTAGACATAGACGAATTAGTAACTTGGGATAGTAACTTCTTCTACAATTTAGAGTAAATTACACGAATCGTCCCTCGTCCAGGTGCCAAAAAGCACGTTCAGTCCCTATTTTCAAAAATTAACTCGGATCGTCTCTGTATAATAATTTTTTCACTCGGGTCGTCCCTGTGGACATAAAATGACATTTTTACCCTTAATAATTTCTTTTTAAAATTTTTAATATGTGTTTATCATTTTTTTAGATTTAGAAAAAAAATACCCTACCAATCAACCCAGGCCTCACGACTCCCCCTTCCCCTTCGTTTTCCCCCTTTTCCTTCTACCTCATTGAAACCAGGTCTCCAGATGAAGACCACCATCCACCGCTCCATCTCTGCTTCTCCGTTCGCCGCCTGTCCACCACCGTCTAAGATCTGCACACCATTCACGAAGTCGCCGACAACCATAAAGTTTCCGGAAACCACAACCACACATCTCTTCTCTTTCTTTCTCTACCATCATTGTAGCAACCATCGCCGCCTCCATCTGCGTTCGAAACCACCACCTCCTTCATCTGCGCACAACCATCACCGTCTTCTCCCTCACCCCTCTCCTGACAGAAACTGAAGAATGAATCTACTTTTTTGTTCGCCTCTATCTCCGTTTGAAACCTTAGATCGGAGGTACATTCCGCCGGAGTAATATGAGAGGGTTTTGTGTTGAATCAAACTCGACAGAGTTTCTACCTTGAAGAAATCGAGTCTGCCATTACTCACCTCTTTGGAAAAAATCAAATCTAACACCGCCTGGAGTGTAGATCTGTGAACAGGTGGTGATGGCTGGTGTTTCCGTCTCTCTTCCTTCGGCTGGTTTTCTACAAGGCTTGGTGGCCGATGGTGGTGGCTTAAGGACCCTTGGGAAGAAGGGGGAATAAGGGTTTATCAACGGTGTTTTTGAAAGAAAAAGAAGTGCAGTCAACTGTGGTGTGTGGTGGTCCGGCGGTGGTCAATGGTGGTGCTCAGTTGTCCGGTGGTGGTGATGATTTTGCTTTAGGGAAAGTAGGTTTAGAAGGGAAGGGGTTAGATAAGGTGGGAGGGATGAGGTTTTTATTTTATTTTGTATATTGTTATTAATTGTAAGAAAAATAAAATAAATCAAAAATAAAATAAAAAGGGCAAAATAGTCATTTCATGTCTCGTAAGGGATGAAACGTGTAAATTTAAACTAACGAGGGATGACATGTGCAACTTTAACCAAATGACTGAATGAGGGACGATCCGAGTTAATTTTTGAAAATAGGGATTGAACGTGTTTTTTGTCACCTGGACGAGGGACGATTCGTGTAATTTACTCTACAATTTAAAAAAATATAATAAATAAAAAGATAGTATAGTTAAATCAGATATTAGCCGGGCCATTGTGAAGTTTACTTTGTTAGCCCTAATAAAATCTACAACACAATTTTTTCATCGATCAAAGTAGTTGTGTCACAAAAATTGTGTCTGTTGCAAGGGTTTTTGTAGAAAATATTAGGCGTGATTAGAGAGAGGGTTTTGGAGAAAACATAAAAAATGGCGTCGAGAGGAGGAGGAGGAGCAGTCGCAGGGAGGATACCGGAGTTGGAGAAGATGAGCGTCGAACAGCTGAAAGCAATCAAAGAACAGACCGATCTAGAAGTCAATCTTCTTCAAGACAGCCTCACTAACATCCGTACCGCCACTACTCGTCTCGATCTCGCTTCCATAGCTCTTCAAGATCTCTCCATCCGACCTCAAGGTCTTCATATCACCCTATACGCACCTGTTTCTCTTTGTGAAGTTTTGTTAGTTCAGTGCTCTTAATTCGTTCTCCATGTTACAGGAAAGAAAATGTTGGTTCCTTTAACAGCTTCCCTCTATGTTCCTGGCACCCTCGATGACGCTGAAAAAGTTCTCGTTGACGTTGGTACTGGATATTTCATTGAGGTTCGTATCGTGGTTTGGTTTTGCAAATAGAACGCCAATAATATTCCTATTAGTAGCAATTGCTCTAGGGTTTAATGTAGATTTTGATGTTCTATTTGGAAACATTTTTACTCTGATTGAGAAGAGAGGGATTCCAATTTTATATGTCTATGCTTCATGCTTCTAGTTTTGGGATCGAATCCAGGCTACAAAGACTCACATCTCCAATCCGAGAACGAGTGAGCAAGAAAAATAGAAAACCTAAAACTTTACATGACTTTTTGTAATCAAAACTACAACTTGCAATATTTGTGAAAGTATATATAATCTATAGAAGCAGCATCTAGATTGATTTTGAATATTTGAACTTGAAGAAGAAAGCCGAGGAAGAAGATAATATAATGCTTACATTTTTGGCCTTTTCGAAATGTAAAGTTGGATGGTTTTTGTAAATGAAAAGTTTGTTCATCGTTCAAACTAGGATTTTACACAACCATCAATAATGGTATTTTGTGTAATTTTGGTAATTTTATCAGGGTAATATCGGTAATACAAAAAATCTTATCTTTGGAACATTTTTTTTTTTTTTTTTTTTTTGTTTGTTTTCCAACATGCTCACCTTTGATGGAAAATAACCCCATCATTTGAATCTCTCTTCTCTTTATGTTAATAGAGACAGACTGCATAAACATCTTTTTGTGTTATCATTTCTCAATATAACATTTTCTCTCATTATCTTTATTTGTATCATTGTATGTGTATGTGTGTGAATAGAAAACAATGGAAGAAGGGAAGGATTATTGTGAACGTAAAATCAACCTGCTGAAATCAAATTATGACCAACTTTTAGAGGTATGTTTTCTTTCAATAAATCTCGTGTTTTTGCATTTCTTCACTAATAGTAAATAGGCAACAACAATATGTAAACCTAAAACTTGTAATTGCCTATATTGGTAATAAGAGTAAAATAAGTTGTTGTTTTGTGATTATTATTATTTATTTATGAAGGTTGCAAGCAAGAAGAAAAGCATAGCGGATGAGGCAGGAATGGTGTTGCAAGCCAAACTGAAACAACTCTCTGCTGCATCATAAATTTCATGGTTTTATTTATCGGATACTGTATTTTTGTTATGGGTTTTTATTGGATTTTAAAGTAATGTAATAACTTTTCATGCATCAAGTACAAGTCATTATATCAACATCTGTTTAGGGAACCAAAATGATTTTCCCTCTTACATACAACTTAGCTTTGCTCAAAATGTATGCACAATTATTCTTGTTATGGAGAAATCAAATCATGCCAGATCTATCCGACTTTAACTTTTATAATCCAAATTATTCAATAGATATATTACACTTATTTTCTTGATATGGTTTATTCAGTTATGATGGTTGATAAATTATATTTTAAGTCGGTAGTCCATATTTTTTTTCAATGTTGTGAAAAATGTAGTACCTCACGTATATCCAATGATGTTATATTATACTTAATGTAGTTTTTGCCGAGCAAAATGAATGTTATTGGCTTCAAGTTTACATTAAAAATATGGAAAGATCAAAATGTTGAAATCCATCTGTCGTGAACTTGTTTTCAACATACAAGTGTTTGTTATAACGTTTGAGACGATGATGACGATTTGGATTATAATTTTGTAATCTATTTGCAGTGAACTTGTTTTTGTCATATACCACTTGATTACAAAATTCATTGCTTTAGATTGAATATATAAAAGTTATTTTATTTATTTACCGATTTAACTTTTATGTATTACATTGTTTCTAATATAATTATTTGTAATGATAAATGCAAAGTAACTAAACGAAATGTTACATGAATAGTTTTTGAATAAGATTATATCATAAAACACATGTTAGATTGTGAATTGTGATTATGTGGATTGTCTCATTGGAAGGTGATTACAAGCATCTTGTAACTTTTCGATGCTTAATCGCGCCTCGACTATGAAGGGATTACTCATCATAAATTGTTTGTTAGCTTTCTCTTGCAATATTAAGGAATTATTAAACCAGGGACGGATTCATATGGGTGCACAGGGTAGCCCGTATGACCCCTCAAATTTCATCTAGGAGCTTCTTATTTTTCGTATATTTTTTTATATTGCGGTGCTACCTCGGTAAAAATATGGGTTACCTTAGATTATAAATCCAAAATATTTGAAGTCCAAATTTAATAGTCAACTTTTTTAAAATAGCCCAAAATGTACCCCGTCTTTTAATGAAATAAAAAATAGCCTAATGTCCAAATCTTGTACTCATTTGATAAAAAAAAACATGAAAACAAAAGGCCGATCGATCATCCCCTGCTGCCTTCTCTGAGTTGCTGTTGCTAATCCGTCATTCACTGTTGCCGCTTGCCGACGGCGTTTGATGACCGTCTCCGATCAACAAGTTTCACGCTCACATAGTTACATTGCACAATGAAGCAAGTAAGTTAACTCAATCTTATTCCTATTATTTATTGTTAGGTTATTTTAAATTTTTATTATTTGACATTATGTTGAAACTTGAAAAATTAGAAATTAGCAAGTATGTTTGTTTAGTTAGGGAATTAGGGTTAACAATTAGTGATTATTTATTGTTAAAACTTGAAATCAGGTTTATAGTTGGGATATTTTGATTGTAGGGTTTTATTAACAATTTTTTCAAAAGACAATTAGATGACAATTGTGTTTTTTAGCAATGAAGTTGTTGAACACCGATTTGTGAAATAGAATATTATATAGTCTATTTGTCATTTTGTTCTGTCTAATGAAATTGCGGTTTTTTTTGTTTGTTTTTTTTTTCTTATTTTATAAAATCATATGCTACCCTTTTTCTTATTGTATATTACTTGGAATTCAAGTGATTGATTGTGCTGATAAAGTGTGCACTTGAGTAAAGGAAATAATTTGGTGAAGAGATTATCCAATTGAGCTTAGTAGGAGTTGGTTTCATGGGGTGGTTTGTAGGGCTGTTCACTATTTGGATAAAACCGAATTGTCCAATTGGACAATTTGGATTGGACTATTTGGTTCGGATATTCGGATTTTTGGATTGGTTTTCAACAAAACCGAATTATTATTTTGGATTTCGGATTGGTTTTGGTTTATAAAATAAAAACCGAATAGTCCAAAAAAACAGAATAACAATTTGTTTTGTATTTATTTTCAATATATCTATAATTATTTATTAATTTTATAATTTTTTTTAAATAAGTTCAAAAAATTTTACCTAATAAAAGACATTAATATGTACTTTCTCTAAAAAAAAATTATATATTAAGTAATAAACTATAATATGCCTTCTTAATGGTTGTTTATAAATTTTAAATCACAAGTAAATAATTTGTTTTTGCTTCTTCTGTAAAATTAGATCATATTAAAATTCTATGTCCTTTTAAAATGTTATGGTTTTTGAAAACCGAATTATAAAAACCGATCCAACCGAATTGTAATTGGATCGGATCGGATCGGATTTGAATTTAGTTTGGACTATTTGGATCCATATTTTGAAAACCGAAATCAATTTGAATTTACTTAATTGGATCGGATCGAACCGATCCATCCAAACGAACACCCCTACTGGTTTGTCCAATACCTATGTTCATGTGTTCCGCTTACCTTCATCCCCTTCAAGAAACCATCATAAATACTTAACCTTTTTTTTTTTTTTTTTTTTCACTCGCATTTTCTGCTCATTAAATGCAAACTATAAAGAAATCAAATTGCTATAAAGATGAAAGCTAAAAATCGATTTAGTGATATAGGATAAGAAGCAATATGGCTACAAAGTCAAATTACAAAAATTATTGACCGTACAAATTATAGATCCCTGTAGAATATAACAAATTAGTCCAATAACTTTTGTGAGACTTATACTTCATTCAAATTCGGTAATCACTATAACAAAGAAACCAAATTTGCTAAAAAAAATTAGATGTATTGACAAAGATTTGACCTTCCATGGATCCAATAAGTCCCGTGAACCAAAGTTTTGTCTTTCTTGGTTTCACAATTTCAACTCCAACGGGTGATTTTGGGTTTCAATATCCAACTCATGGATAAACCCTATGCAATAATAAACCTTGAAATTGGAACTAAAATCAAATTACCGTACGTGCAAAGGATAAATGTGTAATTATACATACCAGGAGAAAAAACGATATGATTATTCCTCTTTAATTCAACATTCAAAGCATTCAACAACATTGATAAGATCAAGGAAAAATTCAAAGTCGTTGGCTAGTGATTGACACTGCTGATGTTTACTTGGTTGGGTTTTTTTTTTAATAGTTCAATACATATCGATTGAAGGCAAACGGGCAACAAGCCGCGCCGCTAGCCCTTTCTGGATGGCAAAACCAATTCTTTTGAAAACAACATTTGTGGATCTAGGAGATATGACATTAGAATGCATGACCCGTTGGACTCTATTGAGGAGCTCCACCGCCTCTGGTGCGAGAAAACCAAATGTATCGAATGCAAAAGGTACAAACACATGTTGATTTTCTATACATGCATTCTCGTGCTTTACCACTTTGCACGCAGCGGCATGCCCTGCTGTGAAACCCCCGCTCCCCAAACCAACGAAAGGAGAGACCCCAGTAAGATCCACACACGCATGCTTCCCTCCTATCCATCCAAAGACCAAAATGTCAGTCGGTCTAAGTGTGGACCTTCCATCCTGCGGGTCTGTCAAAAAGTTCACCGGCGTTTCTTTCTTCACAGAAATACCAGCACGCCGACAAGCATCAAAGAGAACATCCCGAACCACATCATGTCTGTACTTGAAACCAGGGAGCTCTCTACAATGAACTGCGTGTTCCCCAAATGTATCCAAACATGCCTTGCGGCAAACTGGGCATATCTCATCAATTGGGAAAAGGGGAATCATGAGGCGGTAACGAAGGATAGTTCGGTACTCCACATGAGACATATGCTGGCCAAGACCATCAATAGGGATAGTTAGCAGAAAATCCTGAGCATGAGGTGCCCGCAGACACTCAAAGACTGCTTTCTTTCTGACAGACATGTCGAAGTCGACTTCCATATCTTGGACGATTTTGCTAAAAAGGGAACACGCCAAAGCTTTTTGGGATTTAGGGGGGGGGGGGCGGTGTCCTTATTAGTGAAACCGCTACAGTCAAATCCCGGAATCGTATCGCGAAGACGAGTCATAGCACATAGGTAATCCGAGTCCATACCAAATACGCCACCGTCACGTAAGATGTGGTCTTGTAATGCCCAAGATTGGACCCTCGAGGCTACAAATGCGTAGGAGGAAACCTCGTATGCCGAGTACAAACCCAAACCACCGAAACGAATAGGTAAGGAAGCCAGGTGCCACTGAATGTCTCCAAAGAAGGGGCCTCCACATACCACCATATCCTCGATAGACCTGCGCAATCATTTGTCAAAGAACAAAGCTGCCTCTGCTATGTGTAACGGCTGACATGTCCTTAAACCAAAGAAAACTTTTGCAATGCCCATACATGATCGGAGCAAAAGGAGCTCACTCTGTGGGTCACATAGTTGTGGAAGAAGGCCCATCAAATCAATAGCATTGACCGCTCTCTTCATGGTCAGCTCGCTAATAAACCCTGCGTCTCTGCTAACAGCCCCCCAAGGAGCTTCACCCGCAAAGAAGGTCTCCCTATATCCGTTGGGAATAAATCGGCACGAAGCTTCCTACCATCACAGGAGGGCCAAAAAATCTCTGTTTTCTTGATGTTCAACTCAAGACCCAAGCCTGGACCATGCAACCGAATAATGTTCAACACTCTAGCCACCTCCTCTAAATCCCCAATGACAGTCCCATCATCTAGATACCAAGCATGGAGAAGGAGCTTACAATTGTCTCTAATCTTGTGCACAAGCGGGTGCAAAACGAGGGCAAAAAGAAGAGGGCCCAAGGGGTCACCTTGCTGCACCCCAGTGGCAGACCATATATGTGATGGGTTTTGAGCATTCTAACACTCCTAAGTGTACATGCAACCCTAAATACCTTGGATCTATGTTTTCTCTATTATACATGCAAATATGATTATCCAAGGTATTATCCTAACTAGCATACCAAAACATTGATACTAGGATACTAAAATAGATAGAATACATACCTTGTTGTTGTTGTTTTGACTCCATGAAGCTTGAGAGCCTAGTGCCCCAAGTGTGACACCTCAAATGGTTCACACAACATCATGAACTCTTGGAATAACCATGAGAAGAAGACATACATGTTCAAATCGGCTAGCCCTCAAAATATGTATCACTAGTGCCAAT